GAGAACTCTTCAGAATTCGAAATTTGAAGAAAACTCAGAATATAAGAAACCCAAATAAGCAAAGAGAAACCAACTTGAAGAAGATGAATGGTGATGTTGAGTTTCGGCAAAGAGAAAGGAGATCGAGACTGAGATTGTTTTTAGGGTAAAGGGTATTTTTTGTAATCAGCAAATTATTATAAGGGTATTTTTGTTTTTAACAGTTTCAGCCGCAGTAAATCTCGTTCTAAAGCTGAAAAACACGGAGTTTAAAAATTTTAGACGCAAGACGCCACGACTGGTCGCAGCGTTTAACCGCAGGTGTCTGCGGCAGACAAATGAAAATCGCTTAGTCGCCCAGACGTCGGCGTCAAGCAAACGAAGATGCTACATATCTTTCAGAATCAAAAGTCATTATCAATATTCTTAGATTGAGAGATGGACTATCCAAAATCAATGAATGTGGCCATTGGCCAGACACTAATCAAGCTTTTTGCAGGTGTTACACTTATACTGGCAAAAATAGAACTGTTTAAGTATACAAAGTGTATAACCAACTTCTGACTTAAATTCTTTTGGAGATTTAGTCCTCAGTTCTATCTAATAAAAAGAGCCCAAGGCCCATTACTAAGTCAGACCCAAGCAGCCTCTCTCTACCATTATCTAATAAGGAAACTGATCGGGTCGAATATATCCGACAGAAATCTGGATCCATTGGCGAATCATCTCCTCCTCAATGCGAGTGGATTTGCAGAGAGGATTTGAACACGAATTGCCCTCGGAGGAAACCAATTTCTCTCCTCTCGCTTTCTCTTCCTTGAAATCTCTAAATTCGTAACCATTTTCGCATCATGACTTCCGATTCGAGCTCTTCTCCTTCATCATCCGACACCGAATTCGCCGATCCGAACCCTAGTACCGATCCAGGCACTAATTCGGAGCGTGTTCAAAGTCAATTGGAGTCAATGAATTTGTCTGAGCCAAGCGAAGTCTCTGATGGCAGTCACACTGATTACGGCGGCGGCGATGACGATGACGACGCGCCTGCGGAGGTTGCATTGTCCAACGCGAACGAAGGCGGATTTACCAACGGGCGTGTAGTGCGTGAAGATCTGGCGGAAACTAGCGGAGAAGAAGGACGAGAGGCGTCGTTACGGGCGGAGCATCCGGTGGAAATGGAGGCAGGGGAGGAGCCGCCGAGTCCGACCAGCAGCGGTTACGATGGAGAGAGAGGGAGCAGCGGCGGAGCTACCTCCACTTACAAAGCCGACGATGCGAGCGAGGACGAGATTAGGGAAGCCAATGGGGACGGTGACACCGCCTCTCAGCATGAAGCCGCGTGGTTGCCCGGAAAACGCCATGTCCACGAGGTGTGTTTAATTATAGCTCATTAACTCTAGCTCTAGGTTACAAGCTCAGTCCAAGTATCTGATCTCGTCATGGATTGTTGGATCATGAGTTCTGGATCAGAATCAGATTCATGGAGCATTCGAGGAGAACATGGATGAATTAGTTTTTAGGAGTTCTTGGATAGATTTCATCAATAATGTTATTGAATCAGTATTAAAGTTAAGCTAACACTGCCGTGACTTAATATTCGATGTCAATACTGTGGAAGATGTTTAGTGAGTGATACATATGAAGTGATCAATATTGATTATCTTCTCATCAGAGGTAGATGGAACTCTGAGAACACACTTTTAATATGACACGCAGGATGATGCTTCTATTTCTTGGAGAAAGAGGAAGAAGCATTTCTTCATATTAAGTAATTCTGGCAAACCTATATATTCCAGGTTAAACCATTTCTTCATATTGAGTCATCAGCTAGAGAATGGTTGTATTGCGGGTTTAGTCCTTTTAACTGATTCAGTCTTGTTGCATTTCCTTTTTTATTCTCGTATCTTTCAGATATGGAGATGAGCATAAGCTTGCTGGATTTTCAGCTACTCTTCAAGCTATTATTTCTTTTGTGGAGAATGGGTAAAACGCACTACTTTTGTC